TTTTGGCCGAGGAAAAAGACGTGCTAGTGCGTGAGGCGAAAAGGCGTGAGCACGTCATCTTGGGAGCCCCAAGCCTTTAGATGTGAAGGAGGCCTGGGTTGAAGTAGCAGTGAGTGTGTCCTTGTTTTTTGGCATCATTAGATCACCAGCGCAGTGCCGAAAGCGGTACAATGATGTCATGATGGGGATGCTGCTAAATGAGAGTAGTGGCTGGGAACAGGGAGTTAATTATGCTCGTATGTTTTATTTTAATTTTGGGTCTGCAGTTCACAATATATAAATAAGTGTGATCTTTGTTCAAACTAAATGGAACTTAGTTTTTAAGGTGTCTTAAAATGTTCAAATTGAAAGCAATTTATATTCCTTACTGGGCTGTGGATGATTCAGCTCTTCTGCCAGCTGATCCCTCCTTGCCCGCACTGCTGCCAGCATACACTCCTTTGTTGGCATCGGCACATGCAGTTCAGTAACACGCCTTGTAAAGTCCTCTAATGTGTCCTCACCAGACATCCATCACACATGGCAATGTTACGCAACATACAATATATTACAATGAGTGCCACAACCTTCTGAGGGCTGCATTGTAATGTTCCACATGACCTTCTAAATATCTGAAGCACATTTTCAGCAATCCAAATGTCTTTTCAATTACAGTACATGCTTAATTCTGATAATGGACTCAAGGACTTTGTAATGAAAACAAAAAAATGAAAACCTCCCCCCGGCAGAACGCTAGTGCAGAAATTTCCCTCGAGCGCAGAGAGCGGCCGAAGGAAATGCGCTTTGCGTGCGAGCGCACCATGACATTGGGGGGAGAAGAATACATTAGAGAAGGTGATATTATGATGAACGCGCACGCAGCTCTCCGTCCTGTGCTCGCGAGTTTCACTTTTACGCTCGCGACTGGCATATTTACGCATGTGAGTTTTGACTCTAATGTGACGCCATAAAAGGCACTATATAAAAATAAATTGAATCGTATTGAGTATTTCCCTTGCAAAAGTAAAAATCGTCAACATGATTTTTGGGTTCACGCCAGACCATTGGAATTCCAAAACCAAGTGGTTTTTTTCACACCCTTGCTCCAGTTTCTGTGACCCTCCTCGCATGTCTTGCATAGTGTATGAGGTGCTTACAGCTTCTCTTGGTTCCCAAGTGTCATGCTAAAGTACATGTGGTAAACTTTCTTCACAAAATCAGTTGTCTTTTGTCTTTGTCCCTATGGAGTGTAGCTTCCACATATGTAGGACAATGAATCAGGGGAAATAACAAAACTTCTTTTAGTTGAACAGCTTTTCATCATTACATGCGCTGCCATGGTACTTATCTTTAAAATAACCAATGCACTACACTTTAAGTTGCAGCCAGCATTAATGTTAATATCTCATAGAAAACATAAAAATCTAGCCCTGGCGATTTGGTAGAGCATATTATATGGAAAAATTTTGCATGACAGGTTCAGCAAATATCAAGTAAACCATATGTGATACAGAAAACTGAAATTGGCAAATCCTAAACTAAGTAGAAAAACATGCTTTTTGCAAAACACCAGATAATCATGCATAGCAGTGTAATTGTCATTCGTCATTTCAGTAATAAATCATTATTTTACTTCAAGGCTCCATTTACACTTAAAATTCCTTAGGATTCCCCTTAAACAGAACATGAAAAAGATGGCAAATTTAATGTACTGCAAATTGAAATCTAATATTCATAAATAAGTCATACAGTGGGGCTCCATAGGCTAGTAATATACCCACAGTACGGTTTATTGGGTTTTTTCTCTGGCTTGCGGGTGCCTGTGACTGTAAGTGCTTGCTAAAATTCGTAGCATTTCCAGTTTTAGTTGGCACAAGTTTTCAGCTTTGATTGGTGTATTGCAATCTGTTGCGTGTCATAGGCTATTTTAAAATGCCGAAGTACAGACACCCCTAATGTTCACTCTTACGTATTTTTGTCGATACAGGTGAAACAGATAAAGATGAATTTAGAGAATGTTCCTTATTTTTCATTATGAATGCGTCCATTATTGAAGCCACTGCACATGCAGAACGTGAGGATAGCATATATACCTAACAAAGACTGTAGCCCTGTATCCTGTCAGACAGTTTTATCATGTGATATCATATGCAGTTATTCTTTTGTAACTTACGTTTAGTTGTGGAATCTAAATAGTTATAGTCTCATTTTAAATGATGAAATCTTCATTTTTTTTTTATTTTTTGAAAATCTTTCTTATATTGCATGCTTCTCTTAGATCAACTAAAAGGTAAACATGCTATATTAATATACTGGGTTGGCAGTAAAGGATGGGCTCATAGTGAGTTAGGTAATTATGGGGCCAGCTTAGTGTTGTTTGCAAGATGTTTGTCCTTCTGGATGCTTGCGTCCAGTCAGACTTCATCTGCGAGCAATGTTAGTGGACTCATTCATGGTCAAGGTTCACGACCTTGAGGAGCAACTAGCTCTCATCCAACACAACAAGGAGTTAAAGGAGAGAATTAATCCACCATTTAGGAAGACCGTGAGTATGTCACAAGCAGGGAGGGGGGAGAATGAAGAACAGATAGGTCAAGCGAGCTGGATGAACGTAGGTCATAGACGTAGAAAAGGGCGTACACAATGCACAGAGGCGGCATCACCTGATGTGATGGTGTCTTACCGCTTTCAGATGCTTCCAGTTTTTGAGCCGGAAGAGACTGAGGAGGCAGGTGGACCCTTCAGATTAAATAGTTTTGTTGATCCAGAACATCTCTAGTTATCTACAGTGTAATCACTTTTGAGTATATTAGTTTTGAGTATATTAGTCTGTATTATAAGTTAGCTTGCTATAAGTAAATTAAAATATTGTCTGTGTTGCTCCAGTGGTGCTAACGTGATATTTGTTCATCCATCTAGCTTTACTTTATTGTATTTTATCACTTGTTGTACGTGCAAAATGAACAGTTTGCATAAGTTACTCCAGATATATGTACTAGTGTTTTCTTCAATAGAATTTTCATAACCGTTTCTTATACAGGAAGCACATGGCACAAGCCAGCATGTGTCCTGGGCAGGAAGTCCATCCATCACAGGATATGCAAGCGGTTACACACTAAGCAATTTTGAGACTCCAGTTTTTAGGCTGATGGGCAGAGCTAGGGCAGAATTTAGCCTCAGAGGTCCTGGACTACTGTGCTGCCCTCAAATTTGTATCATTAAAATGCAATTGAGATGTTGAAATATCTGTTGGGATGTGTGGCCATGTTTTCTGGCTGTCATTGTCAACACAGACCCTCGGCACGCATTATTAGGATGCTGCCTTTGCTAAGATGAGTAATAGGGGTGCTCCGATTGATCGGTCGCCGATCATAATCGGCCGATAATTGCTTTGGGAAGTTTGATTGGCAGTCTCTATAATGGCCGATATAGAAAAGCCGATCGGATGATGCAAAACTTGCGAGACAATTTTTTTGCGCGCTGCTAAAATGGCTTCACCGGTCTGGCAATTCTAGGTGTTGTGTGAAAAATACAATACATTAGTAATCTGCAACCTGTGTAACAAGCCAATTCCACGAGGCGGGAAGCACCCAAAGCATTTTAACACCACGAACCTCATCAGACATTTGAAGGTTAGTCACGTAAAGGAACATGAGCAGTTTTCAAAGTTGGCTAGCGCTAAGAGAGAGCGGGAGAGTTCAGCAACTCGCGCGCCACTCACTCAGCCGTCGGTAACAGAGACATTTCAAAGACAGCAACCCTACTGCAAGGACAGTAAGAAGCATAAAGAAATATCAGATAAAATAATAGAATTCATATGCCTCTTGTTTTTTGGCAGAACAATAAAAGCCGCTTTCCTGCTCTTGCACAAGCAGCACGAACCTACCTCTGTGCCCCATGCACAAGTATTGATAGTGAGTGACTTTTTAGCACAGTAGGAAATATTATAGTTGAGAAGTGCAACAAGCTGTCAGGCAAAAATGTGGAGATGCTTATATTTATTAAGAAAAATCTGCCCTTGATGCTTAAGAAGTAAGCTACAAATCTTTATCCACCCTTTCTCATTCTCTAACTCACTCTTGCTCTCTCTGCCCCTCTCTCTACCTCTCTAAATGCCCACAAAATCTACCTGAGCTTCTCAGAGAAAAAAGTAACTTTATCATTGATTCATGATAGTGCAGTTGTGGTTCTATTAGTTAACTGCCTTTCTTCTTGACATCCCAAGAGATGTGAACTTGCAATGGCCTGTTAGGCCTGCCCTGAGAAGTGAATTGAAGTTGCAGATGGATAGAAACAGATATAGAGATGTACATGAGATA